ATCACAGTTCGCTCAAAGCAGCCATGAATTAGTTCCTGGACCGTATTGAAAACCCTTCCACATAGAATTCAGATAACCCTAATAATCAATATTAACTGCAAAATGGATCAAGGATCTCAGACCCCGCAACCTAAAAGATCACAGGACAATAATAGAAATACTCTGGAGTAGTAGGTGTAGTAAGGAACTTCTCAACGAAACCCCACCCACGCAACTAAAGATAGCATAGATAAATGGGACCTTCAATAAAACAAAAAACTTCTGTTCATCAAAGGAAATGTCCTCTAAAACGAAGAGAACACCCACAAGTGGGAGAAAATTTTGCCAGCTACACATCAGACCACAGAACTGATAATTCAGAAATATATAGGTAACTTAAAAAACTAAATCTCCAAAACTAATGAACCAAAAAGAAATGGCAAGTGAACTAAACAAATTTCCAAAAGAAGAAATCAAATGGCCAAACAGCACACAGGAAAAACGCTCCCCATCTCTAGCAAAAAAGGAAATGCAAATTAAAACATGCTGGGCTTCCACCTCACCCCTTGTTAGAATAGCCACATCAGCAACACACCAAACAACAATGTTGGCGAGATGGGGGATGTAAACTAGTACAACCATCGGAGAAAATTTGAGCTACTCAAAAAGTAGACTTGATCACCGATTGAATCCAGCAATACCGATCTTGGGGAATACCCAACAGAGTGACACCAAGTTACTCCCAGAGGCACCTGCACACCCAATGTCTTATTTGCACTAATTCACAATAGCCAAGTAAATGAAACAGCCAAGATGCCCACACGATGAAATGGATTAACAAAAATGTGGTACTATACAACAATGAACTTTATGCAGCCAGAAGAGGAATGAAATGTTATCCATTCGCGGAAATGGAGGATTGGAGAACATCATCTGAGTGAAGTTAGCCTGCCCAAAAGAACCAAAAAATCATAATGTTCCTCATATGTGCTTAACTCGAGGGCAAACAAACAGCTTGGACTTTGAGCACGAGAAAAAGCGAAGCACAAAAAGGGAGGGTATGGATAAGTAAGACCACCATAAAAATAGCTAGCATTTGTTGCCCTGAACACAGAAAACTAAAGCAGATACCTTAAAACAACTGAGGCCATAGGAGAAGGGACCAGGAAATAGAGAAAAGGGTAACTCAAAAAGAATTAAACCTAGAGAGGTAACACGACACAACACAGGAGTCATTAGGTCAACCCTTATATGCATCCATATCTCAACCAGCAAAAAACCCTTGGTTCTCACTATTATTGCTTATACTCCTCTAGACAACCAAAATTAGAAATAAGGCAAAATAGTTTCTGCTGGTATTGAGGGGTGGGGGGAGAGGAGGGCGGAGTGGGTGTAAGGGAGGGGGTGGGGAAGGGGGGAGAAAATGACCCAAGCTTGTATGCACATATGAATAAAAAATCATTGAAAAAAAAAAAGAAGAAAAAACCCTTCCACAAAAAAGGGGCTGGTGGTGCTCAAGTGTAGACCTGGAGTCAAGTGTCAAGTAGAATTAGCCCTGCCCCGCCAGTGATCTCAAATAGGCAGGGACTTCACCCCGCAGAGTATGGTTCCCCATCAAAGCTTGTCGGACACGGTCGCCATCCCAAGTTTGCTGTGGCAGCGCTCAATAAGGTCACGTTGTGTCTGGGTCAACTGCGGTATTGTGTCACAAGAACCACCATTTTCCTTCTACTCAACCACAGACCTCCATGTAGCCTAGTATAGGTTCCTTCACAACACTGAGCCTCAGTTCCCCATTTGTAAGTGGCATCACCACGGCCTGAACCTCAGGCGTGTGCTGTCATCTCAGGACATGAGAACAAGTTCGCCTGGCCACACACTTACCTGTGTGGTTTGAAGATCCAGCACGAACGTTCTCTTTCCAGCCGTCCTGGGGACGAACGCCGATGCCAGTGATTCACGTCAACAATTCGGCATCTGGAAAGGAAAAATGCCGGCACCATCTGTCTCTGGATTTTCCCTGCTGTCAGTGTGAGGTAGCAAGGGAGCTAGCCTTCCAATTCCTCAGACCATGACAACCCGGACCATCAAGGCACCTTCAATTAATTCCCATAACGATCGATCACAGCTTATCAGCTGCCAACTCACATACCGTCACTCCTGCGACCTCAACCAACCGTCAAACTATGCATTACATCAATCATCAATACACACCATCCAACAACCTCTGCCATGCGTTTACTATTTATGTATTTTTGGTGCCTTGGATTTGAACTCAAGAGCTTCATACTTGCTAGGTGCACTTTACACTTGATCACTCCATCAGCCCTGCTGTGGTGGGTTTGCAAGATAGGTCTTTTTGCTAGTCACAAACATTTTGCCCAGGCGCTGCAAATCTCGATCCCATGAATCCCTCCTAAGTAGCGGATGACAGGTGTGAGCCACCAGCACCCAGCATAATTTTTTTTTTTTGGTGACTCTGGGGTTTGAACTTAGGGCCCCATGCTTGCTAGGCAGGTACTCTTATCACTTGAGTCACTCCACAGCCCAAAAGTGGGAAGAACATTTTTTTTTGGCAACACTGGAGTTTGAACTCCACACCTCACCTTGCTAGCAGGCATTCTATCATTTGAGCCACTCTGCCAGCTTGCTATAAGTGCTATCAATAGTCCCCACCTCATTATCATCAATGCCAGCCACCACTCTCATCACCATACCACTCACAACACTAGGGCAAACCTGAAATATGGAGACTTTTGCAACAATTACACCCACTCCTGGTGAAGCCAGATTGCATTGTTGGCATGGCCAGTTAGATTTCATTATCATCAGATGCCCTTTCCCTTCCACTGTCGAATTCTGGTGTATCTCAGTCCCTTGCTGAGATTAATTTGCCCCTTATCCTAGTGGAGTCCTCAAGACCAACGCTGCCAGGACTCTGGTCAGGGCGCTGACACTCCCCCATCCTTACTTTCAGGGGTGGGCGCAGTCCGACCGCCCTTCCAGATGGGTTGTGGCCCCTGGAAACTGTTAACCCCCCAGTTCCCAGCTGGAAATGCCTCCAAGAGTTGCTGTTCGGAGCCATATAAACATGGAGGGTCAAGAAAAAGAAGGCTAGGGAAGGTGAGAGGGGCGGGGAGCAGTGGGGAGAGATGGCAAGTAATACCATATGAATAATGTATAACAAGTTAAAAAAAAAAAAAGAAAAAGAAGGCTGGGACCTGCCAGGCTTGGAGGGTCACCATGCTCTCCCCACCACATCACTGAACCACTGCGTCAGCATTGCCATCTGCCAGCAACACCACCGTCCCCCTTAACAACACCTCCGTCAGTGATATGTCATCACAGCACCCTTGAGACTGTCACCTGTGCCACAGGTAATGCCATAGACAGTGGTGTCTTCATCAGCAGCAACTGCCATCCCCACTCCACCATCACTATTACACCACCAGTCTCAACCCCACCCCACCACACACCACCCACATCACATCCCCACTCTAGGGTCATGTGCCAGTCAATCCTTCCCACCATTCCCCACCACCAGTACCGCCATCCCTTCAATGCCACCACCGTTGTCACTAATGTCACCACCTCCACCATTACAATCACCATCACCGTCCAGCCAGCTGCCATTCCCACTCACTCTCCCATTATTGCTATTCACAGCAATTCTGACTTCTAATGTCACTGTCATCATGGCAGCCCCACCATACTGTCATCTGAGAGAATGTTTGAGATACAGCCCAGTCAAGGCCCAGTCCTGCCTTCCCTGGGGGTAATTGCTCCAAACTCACTTGGAAAGCCTGGGAGAAAACAACTGCTGAGCCTAACCAGGGCCCAGGCAAAGATAGGGGCAAGAGCTCCCTGTCAACCCCACTCCTGCCCCGGAGCAGCTGAAGTTTTACCCTGGGATGACATAGGGAGAATTGTAGATACCACTCCTAGGGTCATGGGTGACAATGAAGTGCTTCATCCAAGGGGCCTCCACCTGTGGATTTAAGACAGAGCAGTTTTGTTAGGGAGCTGGGTATGAACTCTCCTTGACCTTGCTCCCCTCTATGGCCGGAAGTTCTGCCAAGAGTGGCAATGCCAGTTCCCAACCCCTCTGGCCCAAGGTAGCACCTGGTCGCTTGCCTCCTGCAAGAAACCCCCCTGCTTCCTGAGTACCGCCCTTCCTCCCTCATGTGTCATAGAGAAGTCTTAGCACACACAGGTGGATGCACGCACACATTAGGTCACACCAGAAACACACACCTGCACACCCGTGCGTGTGTGCATGCACACTCACATATACACGTGCACACACATGGTGTGCCCACAATAGGCGAGAGGTGGAACACTGGTCACCCCACCCCAAGCTCTTAAACCAGGTTGCTTGGATTCTAATCCCAGTCCCACCATTTACTGCTGTGTGAACTTTCGCATGTTACTTGACTCCTTTGTGCCTCACTTTCTCTTGCTCTAAGAAGGCAATGGTGGTGTGATAGAACCCATCTCTTTCTTTCTTGTTTCCTTTTTGGTGGTACTGGGGTTTGAACTCAGAGCCTCACGCTTGTTAAGCAGGAACTTTACCACTTGAGCTGCTTCACCAGACCTTGATAGAATAAAAGGTCATGGATGACTAAAAGGTCATCGGTAAGGCCCGAATCAGGAGGTTCGTAGGAGCACCCCTGGCAATTAATAAACCCTGCAAAAGCTTTTGCTCTTTTTTGGTGGGGGGTTGGTGATATTGGGGCTTGAATTTAGGGCCTTACACTTGCTAGGCTTGCTAGGCAGGCACTCTACCTCTTGAGTCACTCGAGTCACCCTGCCAGCCCTGTTTTTTTTTTTTTTTTTTTGAGACAGAGTCTTATGGCTGGCTTCAACTGTGTTCTCCTGATCTCTGCTTCCTGAGTAGCTAGGGTTACAGGTGCCTAGCTAGCATTTGCTGTTCTTGTTACAACGAAGACACATGTGGCTACATCCATGCTTGTTTTGCTGTAAAGAAGGAATCTCCAAAGAAACGTTTGGGTTGGAGAAGCAGGTTGGTCCTTTCCTGTCTCTTTAACATGTCAGTCCCCAAGTCTGAGACTACTCCAGTAGTGTAGTCCAGTCCATCCACAGTTTTGGAGATGGAATCATCATGCAGAGCAATCGTCCTGTTAACTGAAGCCTAGCATGTCACCACCACGCTCACCTGAATGATCTGCCCTCGGCCTGGCTGCAGCAGAGGGTCAGGCTGCAGCGCCCCAGCCCACGCTCCAGTGCAGTTGATAACCACATCTGCTCCTTCTCTTGCCACCTGACAGCAACAACAGGGCAGGGGGATAGGAGGGAGTGAGGGTCCTGCTGTCCCTGTCCTCTCCTTCTTCCTTCCTCCTACTCCACAGCTATCTACTCCCTGGGGAATGGTGGCATGGGATCTCAATGAGGGAAGCAGATGGGTGTGACTCCAAATCTCTGCTTTGCCATTTACCCAAGATGTCACCTCAGAAATGTCCCTTTACCTCCTTGAGCGTTGGCTGCCTCATTTTATAAGAATTTTATAACCAGGGCCAGTAATACCTTTCACAGGCTGCTATGAGGAACCAATGCAAACCTGAATATAAAAGTGCTTGGGGGCCAAGCACAATGGCTCAAATCTGTAATCCTGGCTACTCGAGAAGCAGCGATCAGGAGGATCTCAACTCAAGGTTAGTCCAGGTAAAAAGTTCAAGACCCTATCTCAACTAACGGCTGCTGCCGTAGCACCAGCCCATCATCCCAGCTATGCAGGAAAGCACAGATAGGAGGATAATGGTCCCAGTCAGCCCAGGTGGAAAGCAAGACCCTATCTCAAAATAACCAATGCAAAAAGGGCTGGAGGTATAGCTCAAAAGGTAAAGCAAGTGGTAAAGCAAGCATGAGGCCCTGAGTTCAATCCCCAGTACTGCAAAAAAAAAAAAAAGTGGGTCTGATGTCTGTGATTCCAGCTACCCAGGAGACAGGTAGGAAAATCACCATCTGAGGCTGGCCTTGGGGCAGGAAAGCGGGGGGGGGGGGGGGACGCAAGACCCTATTTGAAAAATAACTAAAGCAAAAAAGGCTAAGGGCATGGGTCAATTGATAGAGCACCTGCCTAGCAAGTGCAAGGCCCTGAGTTCAAACTCTAGTTCTGCCAAAAAGAAAAAAAATGCTTGGCAACAAACACTGTGGAAGAGAAAAACTCCTTGGAACACTGAGGAAGTCTGAAGGGAAAGCTGAGATGGTTCTGTTCCTCCTTCTGACTTTTTTCTTTGTTTTTTTTTTTTTGGTGGAACTGTGGTTTGAACTTAGGTCTTCACTCTTGCGAAGTAGGCACCCTACTGCTTGACACACCTCCAGCCCCTTTTTCTCTGTTTGTTTTTGAGATGGGGCCTTGAGAACTATTTGCTCAGACTGGCCTCAAACCATGGTCCTCCCCATCTCACCCTCCCAAGTAGCTAGGCTTCCAGCTCTTCTGACTCCTTTTCATTTCATTCTCTTTCCTCCTACTCTGCCAAGACATTTCCTGGACATCTCGGCTCTGTCTATGTTTGGGACACTGGCCAACTCAGCCAAACCTCCAGGAAGGCAGCTCCCCTCCCAGGGCAATCCTGGAGCACATTGCAACGCACAATAATTGACCATAAACCAGTGTCTGAGAACAAGGTCTATGCTGGAGTCAACCACGAATGTCAAGCAAGTGGTAAAGCACCCGGAGGAGCGGGTAGGTCCTCACTGTACAATGTTCACAGCCACATGTACTGAGTGCCTTCCACATGTAATGAGCGCCTTCCGTGGGCTAAGCGTTGTTGTAAATGCTGGGATTAATGGAGTCACATGTCAGGCTCTTGCTACATGGCCACTGCTCCCTCCCATCACTGTTCACTGTGGTGGGGTTGCTTTGACCAGTGTCCAGTTGAGGGCCCAGACTCTGTAGAAACCAATCCAGATACCAGTAGCACACATCTGCATGTCTGGACCTTGGGAGTGGAATGCACCCAAAGAAGCAGCCAATTCTCCAGCCCTAAAACTCACTGGGGCTCAGGTATAAATTGGTCCCTATGGCATTGTGATTCCATAATTCCTTTGTTCTTGACACTAATGTTAAGGCAGACACCTCCTTCCTCAGAATGCCCTCGTCCTCCTAGGATTGCGAGAAGGCCTAGCAGCCTGGAACTGCCTAAGGAGACCCTGGGAGCTGGAGGAGAGGGCCCCTAACCCACTAACAGGAAGCAGGGTCCCCTCACTTGTCCCTCCCAACTCCATCCCCTCCTCGCCTCGCAGCTCACCTCCTCCAAAGACTCCACCTTCCGCTGGAAGAATTTCACTCCCCTCTCAGTTAACCTGGGATGATGAGACATGAAAAACCTCAATGCAGGGCTAGAGGTGTTCAAGCAGTAGAGTGCCTGCTTTGCAAGTGTAAAGCCCTGAGTTCAAACCCCAGTCCCACCAAAACAAAACAAAACAAAAAATCGAGTGAAAAACTTCAATCCACTTGGATGGGTCCATTCTTCCAAGAAACGCCTAGGGAGAACATTTCTGTGCACATTAGTCCCACTGGATATCCCTTGAGAAAATGGCTGTGTAATCGGGTCAGGCATGAGCACCGCTGGACTAGTGGTCCACAGAATGTCCCTTGGGAAACAAGGTCCTCTGAGATGGCCCAAGCCTCTCACTGGGCAGATGGAGAAGCGAGGAGGGTCTTTCGGAAGGTCATATAGTGAGTCTGATAGGGAGGAGTTGGGACTCGAATCCAGGTCTCTTCACTTCCTCATGCTCTGCTGTTGCCACATTGCTTTCCAACATCAAAGAGGGTGAGAGATTTGGGGTACAGAAGGGGCAGTGTGGGACCAAATGCCAAATGTATTGTTTTTTAGAAGCTGGGCATGAGGAGATGCTGGGTTGGGGACACCCATCCCAGCATCTCCTCTAGCTGTCCCAGAGGAGGGCTGGGGATGTGTGGCTCAGTGGTAGAGCACTTGCCTAGCATACATGTGGCACTGGGTTCCATCACAAAACAAAACAAAATAAATGTCCCTGAGTAGAAATATCTGTCACCATTAGTAAAAGTATCAAAAGAATAGAAAATAACCCGTATAGGAGTTGGACCGTAGCTCAGGGCTAACTTATCTACAGAATTTCCTCAAGGTAGACTGACTAGGAGACTTTACTCCTGGGAGAGGCTAGACAGGAGTCACATGTGTTCTAGGTTAGAAGAAATAACCATGTCAGTGCGATGGTTCCCAAACTTGGCCAACAACTACAATCATCCATGGAACTTTTTAAATTATGAAATTCTGAATACCATCCCAGGGTGCTAATTCAGTGGGTGTGAAGTGGGTTCCTGAGATCTTTATTAAAAAAAAAATAAACCTCCCCCAATCATTGGATAAAAATCATTTATTCTAGATTTTTTTTAAAAATCTTAATAAAATAGTAAAATATGGGAATATATGAAATCTTCCTTAATTTAAACATATGTGACTATAGAGATCAACATATCCCTCAAGCTAGTGTTTGCTAATTTGGAACACTACAAAATTCCTTTTAACATCAGGGACGTCCATTATCACCTGTATTAGTTAACATTGTTCTAGCGATACTGGCAAAGGCACTTAGAGAAGAAAAAAAGAATTTTAAAAAGGCAATTTATGTCTTGCAAATGATGTAAGCATGTCTGGAAAAATGAAGAGAATTCATTTTACACTATTGCAAAAGTGTGAAAGATTAGAGTGAACTTGCTGGATTTATATGATGTGATAAGCATATCATGTAAAAAGCTATCCAGGCTGCTCTGATGTTCAGCCGGGAGCAGGACTACTGCCTTCATACACAGTGACAGTCAGGACCAAGGACAACACCCACACCCGGTCTCAGGGTTTTCTGCAACCCTTGGGATCAGTCAGTACAGAGAGGACTCCTGTGACCTAGAAAGTACTTTCCTCCAACGGAAGCTCCAAACCTTACCTTTCGGCTAGCCACTGCAGATAGCTCTTCCCCTCCAGAATCAGGCTTGTGTTGAACCAGCCGTAGCTAGAGTCACAGCAGGCAAAAGGTCAGAGTCTGAGCTACATCCAAAGGCTGGGACCAGTACTGTTCTATGGGTCCCCAAAGACTACAGTCAGATCCACTGCTTGGTGGTCATGCAGGGAGGGGAAGTGGCTTTCACCCCAATGCAAGGAGAAATTTTCTTTCTTTCTTTCTTTCTTTTTTTTGGCAGTAATGTTATTTGAACTCAGGGCCTCATGCTTGCTAGGCAGGCAGTCTTCCACTTGAGACACTCCTCCAGCCCTGTTTTGCATTCTTTTTTTTTTGAGGTAGGGTCTCATGAACTATTTGCCAATGCTGGCTTCGAACCTCAATCCTCCTTATCTCTGCATCCCAAGTAGCTAGGATTATAGGTATGAGCCACCAGTGCCTGGCTCACAAGGAGAAATTTTCGATCAGGCAAAGCCATCATGGGTACTGGACTGTGCAGGTAGAGATTGGTGTGCACCTGTAGAGGGAATTTGGGCATGGGGTGGGGCAAGGAGAGGACCAGGGAGACTTCAGGCTGCAGAGGAAAAGAGAAGAGTTTGTAGTCACCCAGACTGTGTTGGAATCCTAGTTATGATCACATGGCTAGGTGACCTTGCGAAGTCACTTAGCCTCTCTAAAGCTCACCTACAAAACAAGATAGTGATACGGAGAGGGATGGTTTGGATGTTGAAAGTCTCCCAATGGTCTATATGTAAAGGTGTAGTCCCTGAGATGGCAGTATTGGAAGGTGGTGGACCCATTAGGAAGCAGAGCCTAGTGGGAGGCCCTCGGGTCATTGGAATGCCTCCTTGAAAGAGACTGTGGGACCCACCCACTCTTGGCCAGTGATGTGAGTTGTTCTGGCACATGCTCTGACCATGATGGAGTGTCCTCACCAGAGGCCCAAACCCATCGAATGGGCTTGAACTTCAAGAACCATGATCCAAAATAAACCTCTTCACTTAACAAGTAGACTGTGTCAGGTATTTTGTTATAGTGACACAGAGCTTCCAAAATCTGTGACTCCATAGCTCCTCCTCCCCAGCCCAAAGCTCAGTGTGAGTGGGGCCTCTGTGAAGGAGCTGGTCAGAGGCCAGGGGACCAATGCCAGGGATGAGAAGTTTGGTGTCTCCAACCTCTGCTGCCTTCTGGACAGTTCTGTCTAAATTGTGGTGGCCCAACCCCTCTGCCTGTGACAGTAATGCTACCTGTAATCAGGGAACATGTCCAGCTCTCTAGGGGTCAGCTTCCGAAATGCCAGAACCATGTCTTTCCAGAAAGGGTCCTGAAAAAGAAAGAGAAAAGGGCACACAGGGATGGGTGACAATCAACACTAAAGATTATAACAAAATTTACATAACAGTGTGTGTACAGCACTGCCCCAAGCATCTTAGTTGCATGGGTTCTAATCCTCACAAGACATTGAGGTAGCGCTGTTCTTATCCCCATTTAATGGATGCGCCTATCGAGGCGTAGAGACGTTAAGTAACTTCTCTAAGGCCACAGCTACTAAATGGTGTAACTGAGAAATGAACCCACACAATTTGGTTCTTAACCACTACACTCAGGGTCCAGGAATAGGGGAGAAGTGGGGGCCACAGTGAAGTCACCAAATGGTGAGAGTGGGAGGCAGTGGGCACACGGGCTCCAACAACCTGGTGGAGACCACAGCCTTGTTACTTACGCAAAGAATTGAGTTCTCTGAGCCTCTGTCATCTTGTCTGTGTCATGGAGTTAATAATCACTCTTGGGCCGGAGAAACATAACAGAAACTATGCCTAAAGTCCTAAGACCGGTGCTAAAGTCTGAATAAACTTGACAGCTGGCACAGGGTGCCGAGCACTGAGCCAAGCAGCCCAGGTGCATCTAAAAGGCTGTGCTACTCCCCTCAGCACAGAGGGCTCTATGAAGTCTATCTGGCCTCAGCCCTAATCCAAGCTCTGCCTCTGAAAAAGCTTTGCAACTTTGGGTAAGTCGCTCCACTTCTCTGAACCTCTGTTTTCTCATCTCTAACATGTGAATAGGGAAAGCACATACTTCCTGATTATTAAATGAATCACTAGGTAGTTAGCACAGTTTTGACTGTCATGAATGTTTGGTTCTATCTTAAGGAAAAGCCCTGGAACTTCTGGGGACAAATGACTTTTTTTTTTTTTTTTAACTTCAGCAACAACTACTCATACCAATCAAAGGCTAGTCTACCACTATCCCTGCCCCTGCCCCTGCCCCCGTTATCAGAAGATATTTTTTGGTATCTGTCAATTTAGTAACAAAATTTGAAACAAGCAAATTATGTATTTTTTTTTAAAGAGAAGTTCTTGCTGATATTTTTGGCTGTGCCTGTATTTTTTGTTTGCTTGCTTGCTTTTGTTTTTGCAGGTTTGGTGATTGGGGATTGAACCCAGGGCCTTTGTACATTCTAGACAAGCACATTATCTCTAAGCAATGCCCATAGCCCTAAAAATAATTTTTTTTTGGTAGGAATGGGGTTTGAATTTAGGGCTTTACACTTGCAAAGCAGATGCTCTACCCCTTAAGCCACACCTCCAGTCCATTTTTTTCCTCTGGTTATTTTGGAGATGGGGGTCTTGTGAACTATTTGCCCAACTGGCCTCAAACTACGACTCTCCTGATCTCAGCCTCCCAAATAGCTAGAAATATAGGTGTTAGCCACCGGTGCCCAGTTCCTAAAAGTAATTTTTTTCTTATGATTTTTTTTTTCCAGTATAACTAGAATTTGAACTCAGGGCTTCATGCTTGCAAGCAAGCACTCTATTGCTTGAGCCACATCACCAGTCCCTAAAAATAATTTTTTTACAAGCACAGAATTTAAAGTGAACCTAATGGCAGTGGTGACATGTACTTGCTGACCAAGAGGTCCAGGTCAGCCTGGGCAGCATATCAAGACCTGTCTCTCCAGACAGATAGCAATTAACTAAAATAAAGTGAGCCTAATCTGAATCCAGGAGTCTGGTGCCTGTGAGACTCGAGGTGCTTCCCGGGCTCAGGACCCAGCCCTTGCTTGGGATCGCTCAAGGTCAAGGACTCTTGACTCACCGGAACAACTTCACGGAAGAGGTTGTAGCCTGAGATTAGGGCCAGGCCCATTTTTTCAGCATTAGGAGAATTGATGTGACTCAGGAGATAGTCAAAAGTCTGCTGGTTCCATTCCCTGGAAGGGACATCCAGAGTCTTGGTTACAATGCCCTGAGCTGAGCGTAGGTCCTCAGAAGGTCAGCTTGCATGGGACATGTCCAGATCCAGACATCCATCACGTTCCCTCCTGCAGTGAGTGTCTCAAATGCCTACAGGTCTTCCCCTCCCAAGCACCCCAACATTTCCCCATTAACAGGATAGAGAACGGGGAGAAAAATGCAGTAGTAACCCATGGTAGTAACCCTTTGGCGCCCACCTCCAGCTTAGGCTCACACCACCCATGTGTTTCATGAAGACTTTGACCTGGCTTTGGGAACACAGCTCAGTCGGACTCTGAGCACCCTGTACAGAGATGGCAGGCACTTGCTCCTCCCAAAAGTTTTTCCTCCTCACCCTGGGCACATAGCTGAACTATATCTCCTCCACTGGCTTACAGTTAAGTGGGTCCCGTGACTGCGTTCTGGCTGAAGACTGCATGTATCGTCCTGCTGGCTCTTTCTGCAGTTACTGGCTCATAAGAAATGATTAACAGTGGAGGTGACCTTGGAGGTGACCTTGAAAGCCATGTCAAAGGATGGCAAGAGCCTTGGCATCACCACCTACTAATCAGGGACACAGGTCTTGGAAATTTACAAGGGTAAGAATTAAGCTTCTGTTTAAGACATTATTTGTTGAGCGTTCATTGATTGAAGCAGCTGGCGATCTCTGAACTGACATAATATCTTTTGCAACTTCATTGATAAATCTGAGTATCAATCTACCTACTTAGCAGTTTTCTGGATTCATTGATGCATATGGTACCGACAGTTACCCAGCTTAGTGAAAAATGGAGATGAAGCCTCCTGTATCTGGCCTAGAGGAGGGGCTTAAATATTTATTAGTATTTTCTTTTCCTTTCCTGTCTGTGTCTGTGTCTGTGTCTGTGTCGTGTGTTGTGTTTTTTTGCCCCTACTGACCTGGAACCTTGATCCTCCCCATTTCAGCCTCCCAAGTAGCTAGGATTACAAGAGTGAGTCAGCAGTATCTGGGTTTTTCTCTCTTTGTTGAGAGGGTCTGACTGTGTTTCTCAGGGTGGCCTTGAATGCATGGGTCAAGTGTCCTCTGGCCGCTCAGGTAGCTGGGACCTCAAGAGCAGCCACTGCCAGGCTTGGTAGTATATCTTTCTGCCATGCCAGAGCAGAGTGTCCACAAAGAACTCCCTGGGGGAGTGCCCCTCTGCAGTCTCAGCCTTGTGAGCTCCCCCAGATCACCCTCTGGGAACCTCACTCACACCTCCCGTTGGTTGCTGGGGTTGCAGAGATAAGGCTGCCAGAAGCCAGCTGCCACATCAGTGGTGGTGAACGGGGTGAAGCGGTCCGCATAGACCTTCATGTCTAGCTGCTGCAGGACTGAGTGGTAACGCTCATGGATGCAGAGGGCGGTGGACAGCCCGATGACCCCTGCTCCGATCACCACCACGCGCATCAAGTCGGCCTGTGAGAAGGAAATGAGGATGGCCACACACTGTCATCACTGTTATCACCCTCCTGAAGGCTTAGAGTTCCAGACACTGCCAAGCCCTTTCTTTCTTTCTTGGTGGTACTGGAGTTTGAACTCAGGGCCTACACCTCGAGCCACTCCACTAGCACTTTTCTGTGATGGATATTTTCAAGATAGGGTCTCACACACTGTTTGCCTGGGCTGGCTTCGAACCGCGATCCTCCTGATCTCTGCCTCCTCAGTAGCTAGGATTACAGGTGTGAGCTACAGCGCCCGGAAAGCCCTGTCTATACTTGATTCCAAACCCAAGCACTCTGGGGTGTAGGGATTACCAATTGTCCCATTCTGCAAGTGGAGGTAGGGAGAGGCAAAGCCGAGTGGAAGTAACTCAGCTTTCTCTGGGGAGCCTCACTGGATGCTCCACCCCTGGGCTGGGGACATAAACAGGTTAGCAGAGCCCTGGTCACCTGTACACTGGATAGTCTAGTAATCAGGATGATGAGTTCTGGGTTCAAGTCTTAGATTTCTGCTCTGCCATCTGCTAGTTGCTAACCTTGGGCTCCATGAACTTCAACTTCGAGTAAGGAGATCGATGGGAGGCTTAAGATATCCAATCGGGGGCCCAGTGCAAATGAGGTGATTTACTGACGTTCATGGACTACCCACTGTGTGCCAGCACCAGCACTAAGTGCTTCACAGTAAACATCTCATCTAACTCTCTCAACATTCTTCTGAGGTATGGACTGATCTTGTAAGAGGTGCTTTTGCTAAAAAAGCATGGACTTCTTAATCAGACCCACAAATGAACTAAAAGCAGGAAAAAGCATGGCATCTGTCCTCTATTTTGTGTTTGTCTTTACTCTAAGTCATTCTCTTTACAGTCACTTTACAATCACCTTGGATTCCAGGAAAGGCAGAACTGATAACATCATCCTGACAAGGGACTGAAATTTTCCCTAAGGAACAGCAGAGACTTGCAGGACAGACAGCCCTTCAAATGAGGACAATTACCCACAGCGATGAGGCTGCACCCTGGAGCAGAAGCAATCACCTTATGGGAACTAGATGGCTCCCTTCAAGTGATGACAGAGATAACATCTTCTCTGGAGCCCTCAGATTGAGACAATAGTCAGTCAGAACACACCTGGGACTGCGACTGTTTATGCCTATCTTTGTCCCCCGTCCCCAGTTCTTTGTCTACTTATGCCTATACCTCATGTTGGTCCCCTGAAAATGACTGAAGATGGGCTGAGTGTTTACTCTGCCTCTTCCCATAGCATGTCCTGAGCCTGATGACAAGCCTCTTTTCTCTGCTGTCACCGTGTCATTTATTATGGGTGGAAAGTGGAATTTTGGAATATGGAATCTCAGGAGTTTGGGGCTTGGGTACAAAACTCTGGTTTCACTGTTGTTAGTCCCATTTTACAGATGAGGAAACTGAGGCTCAGAGAAGTGAAGTGACTCAGCTGAGTTCACACCGCCAGTAACCAGTGTTGCTGGGTTTTAATTCCAATTCCAATTCAAGTAAATGCGACACACACTTTGTGTATACCTACTATGTGCTAGGCTAACAGCTAGCTGATGCAGCTGTGAGCACATCTGATTCAGGGTTTAGCAAAGGTGACACCACAAGCGAGAAATGGAGTCAGAACTCAGGCTTCCAGCACAGAACTTGGTCTGCCTTGGCGAGCTAGGCTGCTGGACCCTCAGAAGTTTAGAAGGCTAGCAGCTTTTGACTTTGAACTATTCTGCCGGCTCCTGCTGAGGCAGAACAAGAGAACTGTTTGTGCCGGAGGGCCAAATTCAACTTTCCATGTCTTTACTCACAACTGCCCTCCACAGAGCCGCCTCCTGGCAACTCCAGCCTGGACCTCTGAACAGCAGGGCATTCTCAATATGGCCTAGTTTTGCTAAGGGGGAAACGGCCCAGCCCACAAAAGCTGGACTCTGCTGGGCTTTCAGAAGCCAGACAAACAGAAAGGTGGTGTTCTTCTAGACCTTTCTCCCTCCAGCTTGGAGAGGATGGGGGAGAAGGCCTGTCAGGAACCCCTAGTCTCCTCCTTTCCCTCCTCTCCTGCACTTTGCCCCAGGAGACGTGATCATCTCACCTGTAAAATAGTGCTGACCCCAAGCTCTCGGTTGTCCTGAGATTAAATGACAAGCTGACAAGTTCTGGGCTGGGGATGGGGCTCGAGGGGTAGAACATTCACCTAGCACACGCAAGGCCCTGGTTCCACCCCCAGCAGCACACAAAAAAAGTTCTAGGAAGTGTCCTGGTACCTATCTTTCCTGACACAGAGTAGTCCCTCAGTGCACAGTAGGCTCTCTCTGTCCTCCAGCACCTTGAAAATCACCATGGAAAAACAGCATCTGGTGTAAAGAGAGAGGAGTCACACCTGACTCCTTTCCTGGCTTGCAGTGAGACCCTTGCCAAGTTCCTTCTGACTATCTCCATCATCTCTGGAGAACTGACTGCTCTTGTACATTGAAGCTAAAGGAATAAGGGAATTTCTTGTATTTTCTAAATTCTTGGTGATAAGTACCAGAGGTGGTGTGGGGCAGGTGCTGGCGGCAACAGTGCAAACTAATGGGCAGACACATCTGTTTTCACACACCATCTGTGCAACCCTGGGAAAGTCATTTAACTTGGCTAGCAAGGGTCAAGTTTGCCCAGAACTAGGGGTGCTCCCGAGATGAGCACTTTCAATGCTTAAGAAAGTAGAGTCCTGAGCTGCTGGAATGGCTCAAGCGGTAGAGCACCTGCCTGGCAAGTGTGAGGCCCTGAGTTCAAACCCCAGTAGCACCAAAATTTAAAAAAAAAAAGAAGATGAAGAAGAAGAAAGAAAAGAAAAGAAAGGAGAGACCTGGGCAAGCTGGGAGGGTCTGGTCAAATCCTAACTGAGCCTTGGGTTCCTCTTCTAGAAGTGTTTACAGGCTAATGAAGACTTACTGCCTCACCATATCCCCACTAGAACGTCACCCCGGGAGGCCATTGGTCTTGTTCATTGCTCCAGGACTTAGAATGTGTCTGTCAATGCAGGACTGAGAACCCCATCTCAACAAACAAGCTGGGGCCGGGCGCTGGTGGCTCACATCTGTAATCCTAGCTACTCAGTAGGAAGCAGCGATCAAGAGGATCACAGTTCAAAGCCAGCCAGGGCAAATAGTTCTCAAGACCCTATCTGGAAAAAAACCCATCATTAAAAAAAAGGGCTGGTGGAGTGGCTTAAGGTGTAGGCTCTGAGTTCAAACCTCAGTACCGCCAAAAAAAAAAAAAAGCTGGATATGGGGCATTCAAAACTCTAGCTACTCAGGAGGTGTAGGTAGGAGGATCACGGTTCAAGAGAGGCCCTAGGCAAAAATGTAGGCCCTATTTGATATATAGCTAAAATAAAAAAGGGCTGGGGTATGAGTCAAGTGATAGAGTGCCTGCTTAGTAAGTGCAAGGCTCTGATTTCAACTCCCACTGCTGCCAAAAAAAAAAAAAAAAAAAAAACCTGTAAAATGCTTGGGAACTCACACATTACAGCAGTATAGCTTGTTCCCCAGTGTGCAAAGGGGGCTGAGACTCACAGAGGATAAGGTCAGCTAGTCAAGGACATGACAGGGGGCTGGAGTGGAAACTGAGGTGTGCTTTCTCCAAGCTACAGTTTTCTCACTCTTGTACTGCCTAGAAAATCAGCACAGGACTGAGGGAAAAATGGGAGGTGGGAGAGGAGAATGCTAGAAACCTGCTGGGAGGCTCTGGATAAGAAAAAGAAAACCAAACCAAAGCAGAGCCCTCATGTACGCAGGACACATGCCCAAGAGAAGAGCAGGAGGCAGTGCTCAAGTTCTTTTGCTGAAAAGCATTGGTTCCTTACTTGAGCCCACAAATTAACTAAAGCAGGAAAAGCTTGGCATCTTTGTTTCCATTTTGTATCTGTCTTTGCTCTAGCCATTTTCTTTACAGTCACTTTGCAATCACCTTCCATTCCAAAAAGGACAAAACTGATAATATCTTATGACAATGAACTGGAGCCACCTGGAGCTACCACCCTCCCAGAGAGGACAATTATCCCAAGAATCCTCTCAAACAGGAATCAGATTACTCCCTCAAGGTGTTAACTTCCAAAACTGGACTAGACCACCTGCCTGACGGAGACTATGGGCTCCACCAGTCATGAGACCAACCAGACCACACCTATGACTGGACTGATTAACTATACGTACCTTTGTCCCCTGCCCCCAGTTCTTTTGTCTATTTAAATCCATAGCTCATGTCTAAGCTATACCCCAAAGATGGCTAAAGATGAGCTGGGTGCTTTCTCTGCCTCTTCCCACGGCATGTTCCGAGTTGTGTAATAAACCTCCTTTCTCTGCCTTCACCATGCCTCTTTATTTGGTGTTTAGGGGCGGGTGACCAGATCTGGCATATGGAATCTTGGGAGTTTGGGCCTTGGGTCCAAAACTCCAGTTTCAGTAGGACCTAGAGCACCTCCAAACCAGCTGTAAGAACCAGGCTGAGATACAGAAGGACAAGCAAAATGTGGGTCTCAGTTTCTCCAATGTGCAAAACTTTACTTGTTTTTGGCAGAACTGGGAGTTTGAACTCAGGGTCTCACACTTGCTTGGCAGGCACTCCACCAGCTCTCCAATGTACAAAACTTTAAAAAGCGAGCTAATGTCCTTGTACAGATGGGGAACTGAGATCCCAAAAAGAGGAACAACTCAGCCAGAGTTAGAGGCTGTGATAAAAGGGTTTATTCCCGTGGAAGGCAAAGTAAAGAACAGGTAACGTAGAGAGATCGTGGTGGCAGCTGCTATTTTTCCAGCTCCTTGTGTGTCAGCTGTTGGGCTAAGAACTTTATGTGCGTGATCTGGTGTGCTCTTCACAAGTACCCTAAGGAAGTCATCACACCCATTTACAGCTGAAGCAACTGAGGCTGGCCTTGGAGAGAAGCAGAGCCTAGGCTGACCTGACTCCCGTGTCTCTGTGCCCAAAC